GCAGTCAGGTCACAGGCACACCAAAGTAAAAAACCCACAGCAGCAACTTACATGGGATTCTCAAGGTTTATTGTCACATTTAGACAATGAAGTCATTGAAAATAATAGGTATTTTGTGTCACAAGAGGATCTATTTTGGGGGATGTGTTTGTTAATATTTGGTACATTTGCAACTCTGAGTATTTAAATAAAATCACTTTCAACTGATTCTCTTTTCTAGCTCAACCTCTTGCCATATTTCATACCTTCCAAATGAAATTTTCTTTCTAGCACACTGAACAAAAGAAACATTGATAGATCTATGCTAATTCTCAGGTAAAGAGATCCAGATCTTTTTATATACTGAGCCCAGTTCTCTTAAAAATCACTGTTGGAATCAAACATACACTGAACTGAAAATTTTGAATATTCTCTTCTCCAATTAGAAAAATGCATAAAAAGCAATGCAAAGGCAAGCACAGTTATAATACTGGCTGACATTTCATTGAATTTCAGCATTTGTAATATGATGTTTCAGAATAGGAAAACTTGAAGATTAATTTAAGATGGTGTACTGTCACAGTCTAATCTTTTATATACTGAGATCTCATCATTATTTTCCTCCACTGTCAATTGTCCTTAAAGAATTAGGAGAAACACAAAAACAAATAAGGTAAATGTTGTCATTTTAACTAAGCCAAAGAGTGTTATACTAGTTTTTTCACAACTTAATAAATCCAATTTTTGTCTTTATGCTTTATGCAGAAAGAATAAATTACAGCTTCAAGGATAGGGGAAGACAAATATTACAGATGAAAGGTTATAGTGCTTCTCTAAGAAATTGTATAGTCCAGGAGCTAATCTTAAGATACCCAGTAATAGAGGTCCAAAGCTACAGATTTATTTGTACAGTTTTCATTTCATGAATTTTTGATATATTATCAGATCACCTCCTTCTATTCCTATCTCATCAAATGAATATTTGTATGAAAGTATTATTAATCAGAATATAATTTAATATATTTAAAATGATAACATGCTTCTCTGTACAGCATGCTTTAAATGAAGGTAAACCAACACTAATAGTAGGTATATATATATGTATATATGTATATGCTGTTATTGCACTAAGTGATTAGCAACAATGTCTGAGCTGCATATGTCTAATGATGAAGAAAATAAGGGAAAATAATCATTTTTATTCCAAAATGACTGTTAATAGTTTCTACTTTTGGTAAGAATGTGGAGCAATCGCCATTTTGTATACTAATAGTTGAAAGTTAAGTCAGAAAAAAAATTAAAGAGGAATTAGGCAGAAACTACTAAAGCTGAAGAGAGCATGGCACACAAGGCAATGATTCAGCATTTAGGCTTACAACATAAGACACATCTTCTCACATAGACACATAGCAACATGATGGCCACTGAAGAATATGTCTGTAATAACAACAGCAACAACAAAGAACCAATGGAAATGCCTGTCGATATAAAAAATGCCAAATCTTGTTATATTCATACACAAAAATAGTATGAGACAATGTAAAAATGAATGAACTACATCTACATGTAGCAGTTGGATAACGTTAATAAACTATAAATGGGTAGCAAATTATCTTGCTACCTAGGTACAGTTTAAAATCATGAACAATACAGTGTATTGTGTGTGCTATGCATAAATATCAATATAATTTTTATAACTCAAAGTAGCAATGAAGAATATTAAAGAGGTTATTGCTAGTTATATCCTTAATTCATTACAGATGGAACTTTTTTCAAAGTTTAAACTCTAAATTGGTTTTTGCATATTTTCGGCTCTATATGGTCTATTACAATTAATTTTGTTGATTTTTCACTATCACCAAAACTGACCTCTAATAAAAAAATCATTTTCCATAAGTCATATAAATAGGACACATATGCAGAAATAGGCATATAGATAGATATAGAAAAAGTGTGTTTGGAATTAGACTGATTTCAAAATCCACAGGCTGTAATATAAATATGTGGATCAAAAGCACATTTACTATGAAAAACAATACCACTCAAATGCTGGCTCTGGATTTGTTTTCCTCAGACAGGTTGTGAACTCTTCTCGATTTGTGTAAAAGAAGGAAAATAACAGCACCTACCTCAAAGCGTTGACAGGGTCATCTGATGAACTAATGCATGTAACTGTTAAATCAATCTTCACTTATTTTAAGCCATCAACAAGTAAGTATTTCTCATTCATTTATGACTTGAAACTGTGAATAATCTTCCTCTTTCCTCTTTTTAAAGTTCTCATGCAAAATGATGTTAATTTACTCTCTTGATTGGCGATTTATGGTGCAGATCATAGGGACCAGTAAAGTAGGTATACAAGTGAGGTGTTTTTTTAATTTCTTTTCTTTCTTACTTTTTCTAGAGAGAATGGAATTTAGTTGTTTCTTTTTAAAATAAATATAATTTGGGATCACCAGTGATGAAAGCATGCAGACGTCAGAAGCATTGTAGCACAGTGGTATTATGAGCTAAGGTCCAGGGCAGGACAGACAAACAAGCAAAATCTCAAATCAGTCAAATGGTTACCTCTAAATAAATTCTCAGATGATCGATTTTTATCTTTTCCAATGTCTTTCAAAAGTTCAAATGAAGTTTTTTGTGTTAACTACTTATATTTTTTATTTCTTATTTTAACCATTTGTAAAAATAAATCAACTTTACTGGATAAAATAGGGGATTTGTTTAAAGGCAAGCCAATTTACTATAAAACAACACATGTTGTACACATGCCTTTCTTCAATTTAAGCAAAACATTTGGGCTTTAAATAGAAAGCTTAATTATACTATGTGGCAGATATATGCTTAAATATTCCCTTTTGTATATGGTGGTACTAAACTGTTACATATTACAATTTATTGATAAGCAAGAAAGAACAATTTTTTAATTTTATTTTAATTCTCAAAACATTGAATGCAAAAATATGTTGGCTACTTTTATGCACCAAAAATATCATGAAGTGTACAACCACTATTTTGAGGACCAAAAGAACTATTTTTAAGCACTCCACTTACTATTTATTTACTTTATATCAATTTTCCATCATCAGGAGTTTAAGATGTGTTTATAAGAAACCCTAATTTTTTGGTAAGTATAGTAATTTTGCATTCACAATTTACAGCATCACTCACCAAACCCATGGGCAATATCATCCAGAGCTCAGATACTTTTTCTCTCTTTATTGATTCTTTGACCAACTTTTAAGAATTGGAGAATTTCATGTAAAAATCTAAATACTTAGCATTTCTTAAAAAGTAAGATCTTAACAGCCTAAGCCTATATTCATACATACATGCTAGCAATCAGCTGAAGTGAACAGTGGCCACGACTTCTGGAAAAAATGGATATTTTCCAGTTCCCCACAGCTCTCACTATTCCCTATAGCTCTACGCTCTTTTGTTTCTGTTTCCAATCCTGCCTTGCATAGGTGTTAGAGTTTTTGACACTTCTGATTTCTCTGTATTTTGTGTGATTGACTTTCAAAATATATTCACTTTCAAAAACACTTCTTTTTCATATTTCAGTAAATGTAAAAACTTGCCACATCCATGTATACATTCATGTGTTTTAATATCCAGAAATATCTGACATTTAATTACGAAAATTGACACTAAATTTGCATGGCATTTTTCTAGGAAAATAAAAATAAAATGCATTTTTAGGCCTATATTCAATCACAGTCATAAATTCAAAACTTCCAATAACCAAACCTAAATTCAAAGTCAATCTGTTTTTCTATTGTAATTATTTATTTATGCACTCTAGTGTGTTCTAGTCTAAGCATTGATGTTACAGTCAAATACAAAATTTGGCACTTAAGGAGGCACATCCACTGCTTCAGGTCAGTTGGGTATTATTTAGTGTGCATGATATTTAAGACAAATTTCAACACAGAAAATGTCTCAAGTATTAGAAGCATCATTAAAGTGATTTTCATTTTCTATACCGCACATGTAAGGCACATCACATCTCCTTCATAGTTTTATGATATTTTTCTTATAGAAAAATATGTACAAAAGTTGCACCACTACTGGAAGGGGAAAAGGGTATCCAAAACAGAAGATCTCCTTTTTGAAGAGTGTTCAGAAGTAAAGTTGGGAACTTATTGTTAGGCAATATCAAAACTTAGTTTAGAATATTATTGCCATGCAGTATTAAGACATACTTTAGGATCATGGGTTGCCCTCCTTTTTCCTTGTTGCTCTTTTCCATGATAAAACCTAAAACATAGGAGATTTAGAATAACATGCTATATGTGATCTCAACTTATCTGAAAATTTCATACCTGTTTTAGGAAATTTCAGATGTAAATCTTGGGATTTAGATATTTTTAAAATGTACTATTAGAAGGAAAACAATTTCAAATATTTTAGAACTACTGGCATGCCTACAAACAGGCATGTGCCTGATAATTACAATAAATCTCATTCCATTCTGTTACTGTTATAGCACACTTAATAGCCTTTGCTGCCCTCCAAAAGTGAATGCACCTTCCTAAGCCCTACACAGTCAGAGGACAGGTAGACATCTTAATTGATTTTCATTATTTTACATAAGTGCTATAATTTTTATGTCACTAACTCTCACTCAAGCCCCATCAACTTTCAGCTTTTCTCTTACTTATATTTTAGGTGTCAAGAAGAGGTCTACAAGCCAGCGCTCCACTGTGTGATCTTGGGATCCAATCCCAATTAGTACATATAACTGATCACTAACTACAAATAGTGAAATTATAAAGACCTCAGTTAACAAGAAACTTCAAATGAATGTATTAATTCAGATTAGCTATTCAGATTTCATTTTTCGTTATCAGTAAGTATTAAGACTGATTACAGGTTTGATGTTGACTTTTTAAGTGACTCCCCTTTCATATGCTAGGAAGTGTATTCTAGAGAACAAGATTATGGAAACTGGGCTGAATCTGTACAGGATCCAGGACATTCCCAGGGAGTTGGTTTTTAAAAAATAAATACATAAATACCTGTTAACAGCTTGTTTTCTTGTCATTTGCCTCTTCCTTCTAAAAGGAGAGTGTAGCAAAAAATAAATAAATAAAACTGGTTAATTGAGAGTTCTGGTTAGTTAGTTTCCAATTATTCAAGGCTTTATTATACTTCACAAAAAAATCTTCTTAAATTGTGCAGAAGTTTCATATAGATTACACACAATGAAATACTAGAAGGTTAGAGGACAAAGAAGCTAGGAAAGCCTGTATTGCTATTCGATAGTGTTTTAAATATATGGATAATGTTATTACATTTGTGGTCTAATTCCATTGAGTTAAGAATAATGTGAAATGTCATATGATTTAGGATTTTTCTCTATATGAAGACAGGGAAATAAGGTTATAGATTTCTGTTAAAGAAAATGGCCTCGGGTCGTAACAATTCCAGAAAAAGATTCAGCAATGTTATGTATTTTCCCTTTTTCTCAAGAGCATTTCTTCCCATCCCATTGGGTACTTCAACATTTTCGAAAGGGAGGAGAAAACTCTTAATTTTCTTATTTTTTATATGGCCAACAGGAAAATGAAAGCAAGCCAATATTAACATTGCACTTATTTCATAAACGTGGAGCCATTGATCACATAGCTCACTATATACTTACTTTGGAGGAAGACTAAATTACCTTATGTCATTCCCACAAGGGAGACACATTCAAACATACATGCATGTGCATACATACATAAACAGTCATACATACACTCATACAAAAGAAATTAATGACACAGAAATCAATAAAACCCATATATTAAGTTAACAAAGCACACATTCTTTCCAGTGGCATAGCAATTCCCAGCGCTTCCAAACCCTTTAATGAAGAACCACAAAATCTAAACTGATGGCTGAAAAAAACTATAAGTACTTTAAGGTTCTTTTGCCTTTTTGTCTTTGTAAGTTGCAAAGAAACAGCAATCTATATTGCACACTAAAAATAAATGCAGATGCATCATCACCTTTTTTTTTCTTCTAATGACATTGTCATTTACTGCTTTTAAAGTTTCTTTGTTGTTTTACTTTTATTTTTGTTTTCTTTTTCTGAAAAGAAGCAACTGTTTCCTTGCTTGAAAGATCTGTTAAAAGGTGCTTAAATAAATCACAAATGCAAGCATGATCTGGGATTACTACGGTGAGGAGGTAAGAGAAAAGTGCACCTTTTTATCTACTATAGTTTTACTGACAGAACTATTTGACTTTGCCTTATAGCTCACTCATCTTACCTTTATTGAAAGGATGCTGTCTTAAATAAGATAAACTGATAAATACCAAATAATTAATAAAGTACACACTTCCTTAATCCAGTAAGCAATATGTCGCTCAGCTTGAGGGCATTTTCCCATATTAGTAAAGATCCTTTTCTATTTTAATTGTTTATAAGGCTTTCCAACTATTTAAATTTTCTATGAAATTGGTGTCATAACTAGACTGTGAAACTGATGACTTCTGAACACTGTAGTTATTCAGATATTATGTAATATATATACATTATTTAACTGTGCTTACACTAAATAATTAAATGTGAAAAAATAAGAATTTTAGTATTTAACAATTAGGATTTTTAAGTCATATAAATATGATTTAACTAGGTTACACTAAAGAATTAAATGTGAAAAATTAGGATTTTTACCTTGATATTTGAAATTTTCTCATTTGCCCAATATGAAAGGTATATTTTAAATTGCTGCCTAACACTATCTACAATGCTAAGGCTTTAAGGAGTACATGTTGAATACACATATATAATCATCCTGAAGTATTTGAAAATGATTGACTCCAAGATACCCCATAACAAAGTCTGTGGATGCATAGGACCCTTATGGACAATGCAGTAGCACTTGCATATAATGTACAAATATATTTCTGTGTACTTTAAATCATATCTGGATAACTTACAATGCCATACAAAGAGTTATTATGCAGTACTCATTAGGAAATAAGAAGAAAAGTTGTATTTGTTTAGACGGATAAAATACTGCTCCCAAATATTTTTAAAACATGGTTAATTGAATCAATACATGTGGAACCCACAGATACAAGAAAGCACCATATCAATTGCTTTTAAAATTCTAAATAAGATGTGACTTCTGCACTTCTGAATTTTGGCTCAGTATATATATTACTTAACATTCTAAATAAAATTAGGTTTCAATACTTCTGAATTTGTTCCTTTTTATTTTGAACAAGCTTATGTTATGGAGCTCAATGAGGCTTGTGATCTTCCTGCCTGCACTTCATAAATACTAATGCTACAGGCATGTGCCATCACGCCTGGCTTTAATTTTCTTCTATTGTTATATCAAATAATTCATTATATATTTCCATATTTTTGCAAAACAATGAAAATTTAGAAAATGTCTACTGAGTAAGCATATGATGCTGATATTTCCAGCTCAGTATGAAATAACTTAAAATGAAAAGAAAAACATCTAGATTCTTTGAAGTTGACTTGAAATATATAATGTCCTCTCTAATTCAGCTTTGTCTACAATAAATTCCAATTTCTTATAGCCATACATATCTGAGTCTACAGTGAAAGAAAAGTCATGAAGAAAAGCCTGAAATTCACTAAAATATCTAAAAAATAAACATAAAATCATAGTCTTTGGAGGTCATTTGCAAAAGCATATTCTATATCATGTCACCAAAATTATTTTTATATTATCTTTATTTTATGTGTATGACTGACTGTACTGCTTACATGTATACAAGTGCACTCATGTCATGTAGTGCCCACAGATGTCAGAAGAGGGCATTGGATCCCTTGGAACTGAGCTAAGGATGGTTGTTAACCACCATGTAGGTGCTGGGAACCAAACATGGGTCTTCTGCAAGGGCATCCAGTGCTCTTAACCCCTGAGCCATCTCTCTAGCCTCATCAAAAGTATTTTATCAGATAATGTACACAGTATATGACAAATGGTGTATATTTGTTATCACAGGAGTTTGTAGGAAGATCAGGAGTTGGAGCCCAACCTCACCTACATAATGAGTTCAATGTTAGCCTGGGTAGCATGAAACCCTGACCCTAAAAACAAAACCAAAATTTAAAAAAAGAGAAAACATTCAAAAGCAAAGTTCCCCAATATTCCGTGGAATGCTATAATGCTTTAGCTGCAACCATCATCACTCCTGACTCCAGTAGCACAACGATAATTAAACTCTAGAACCTCAAACAGACTACCATCAAGAGCAGGCTGCACTTTTTAAACTGTACCAAACTGATAAATGTTTATACTTTTATTCTTCCAATGTTTAATTTGTGAATGCAAAGCTCAACAAAAGTAAAGCCAATAATCACTATACAATATGTCCGATTTGATTGAATTCAGTTTTGTGGGAGACTCAGAGATATTAAATTCTTGTTTAAAATTTAGGCCACAGAATTGAATTAAATCATGCACAAAACAAGATATAAAAATATGGCAAGTATGTTACAATATGAAAAATAGGTGTCTAGTAAAAAACTCAATCTCCCCTGTCCCTTAACATCTTTCTTCCCCCTCTGCAGCACTGGTACCTTTCTAGGTTTCTGGATTCTTGAGGAAGGATGTTTAAGTGAGGAGAGAGATGGGAGGGTAAGTCAGAGGACAGGAGGTTGTGGAAGAGGAATAGCTAATACAGAGGAGGTTTGAAAAGTCATATGGAAACATGCTGTTTTATAAACTTCATAAATATATATGAATATATCTATGCATACATGCATACATGCAAAGGCATATATTCATATAAAAGAGTTTAATTGGAGCTAGCATAAACATAGGATTATGTTCATTCCAGAAATGAAACTAAGGTTTGACAAATTAAAAGGCCCGGATATGGGATACCTCAAACTGAATTTTTTATGAGAAGTGTTCCAGAGACCCTCAAAAGAGTAAGACTATTCCTGTTGTTCTTGGTGGCCCACAAAAAGTTGATGGTAAATACCTATTGTTGCAGACATAACTCATATTGATCACGGGACATAGAGAAATCAAGTTAACACTAACCAGGAAATTTCCTCCCTGCTGGTTACCTTTCATAGTACTGCAAGGTGATATATAGGCTCTTCGGGGAAAAAAATCATCAACATTCATGGCCTGCTATGAACCCTGTGAACTACTGTTATGACCAATATGGAAAGATATGCCCAAGGCTGAAATACTGGCATGATTGTTATGGGTATAACCAAGTACTTTCTGATTGAACTTAAGGCCTGCTCCTGAGGAGGAAATGCATGCATGCCACTGCAAATTTGGCCTAAAACTCTTAGTAGGGAGTTCACAGTCCTGAGGGTTAAACCTACTACAATTATTCTGTTAAATGGGCATAGTATCAAATTCCCTCTAAACTCACATCTCTTTAAACATAGATTAGTACAGCTCTCAGACCTCATAAAATATACTTCTTTATGAAATGGATGGTGGCTAATGCAGTATAGAACTATTCAAAGTGCAAAATGTGTTAATGGAGTGCTCAGCCTCAAATGAGATATCTACATCACACCCTAAGAATACAGGGACCATTATGGACAAGAGGGAGGAAACAGTGTAAGTGTCAGAACTCACAGAGGAACAGATGGTAACAGTATCTTCTGGATATGACAGGACCTCTGAACTCATGAACTCACAGAAGCTGTAGTTGCCTGTGCAAGATCATGCTTTCAACACTCTGGCATGAAGGAAAGAGGATCAGAAGCCTCTACCTTTAGCCACAGAGCTGTGGACAGTTGATTGCTTCTGGTGGAGAGAGTCAGTTTTCTTTGGGGATGTGTATCCTGATAGTTCAACACATGTCCAGTCTATGGCACCACATCCATGAACATATGGCCAGCACAAATTGAACTTGGTGGTCCATTAAAAGAAAAAAAGACACAAAGTTAGGGAGTTAACATGGCAGGGGTGTATCTGCGAGGAATTAGAGAAGTTGGCAGTGCATATGAATAAAATGCATTCTATGAAATTCTCAAAGAATTCATAAAAATATTTTTAAAACAATCTTATTGAATTTAAACTAAATAATTCATCATGAGGAAAAGCTGAAG